CATCTCTGACCTTTAAATTTGTTACCAGCCTTCTGATATAAGATGTATACTGGACAATAACATCATAGACACTCCCCATCTTCATTGTTAAAAATATACATCTACTATATGTATGATTTTTTTAACAATTGAGATGTGGAGTGTCTATGAGTGTCTATATTATTGACATGTACAATTAATATACGCAGTTATACTAGTATCCAAAATTGTCTGTCGATACTAATAACTGCATGTAACTACTGTAGCGAATGGCATGCAGATATCTGGATATGCACAGATGAATCATCAAAACCAAACACACCTTTAAACAATTTAAGTCAATGGTTAAGCCGGCCTAAAGGGAATATATTTAGAACAGTAGTCTGTAGAATACGACAAACATTCATAATATTATTTAATGGATTATTGAAGAAAAAACATGTTAGTCTTATATCGTGTAGGATACACATTTCATAATTAAACATCTAATCAGTTAATTATACCTGGTGGGCACACGCCTCTTTGGTCTTGAATGGAGTCGGCAAAAAGTAGTGACCCTTTTCCTAGTCATCGTCACAAACCCAAAATGTACTCTATGCGGACTCCGAACCGTTGCTTGATACGATGATTCCCAGGATGAATTTTCATTTTTATTGTAAGACCAAATTTTGCCAAATGTTTTCAGTTTTGTAAACATTGTTTCACAGTTGAGATTTTAATGTATACCAAACCCGATTTTATTTCATGGACGCAGAAATCGCATATAGGGAAAAGAGTACCAATTAATTTCCCATAGAACTCTATACAAACCTTTTGCCCTCCAAGTAATTTACTAATTCCCGTTCAAACAAATCACTGGTATTATTTGAAAGTTCGTTCTAAGCACTTATTAAAAACACGAAAAAAAAATATACCGTTCCGCGGCGTTTATAGGTCAAATTTGCAGTTATTTAGAACTTACAGAGATCGGCAGTAAATGACACCCTGCCAAAAATATCAATCCCCACTCCTACAATCTCCCCTGGTATTTCTAGAATTTTTGTAATATTCCCACATTCCATCATTTATTTCAAACATTAATATTTTTGCTTTAAAATGAAAATATTTACATACCTCAATTCAGCCAATCAGGTAAAGCCTACCCATTTATTACTCTGCTTCATCTTGTTCAACCAGGAAATGATGTCAAAATCTGGGTCTTTGGTGCTCTTTTTCCTATACTTACATATTTACCTATCCCAGAATTAGTCAATTTTGTAATTTTCAAAGACCTTATACTTACCAATATACATGTATGAAATTTGAGGCCTGTCACTTCAGTGTCTTGGAATCTGTGGCCATCTTAATGAATGTCCCCTCCCTGCTGCAGGTGCTTTTCCAAAGAGTGAAAAACTTTCATTCCTGTGATGAAATCTGGATACAGTTGTCACTGTAATGAATAAAATATTTATAAAATAACATGATTTTGTTTTTTGATGTTAATAAAATGATATAAAGTCATAATTGTGTCAATTTTTTCATAGGGGTGGAATCTACCCAGAATAAAGAAAAAAGGTCCAAAATTTGATAAATCATAATTAATTAAGCAAAATTAAAAGGTTTTAAAAAGACTGATATAGAAATTTTCTTATGCTTATGAAAAGTAAATTGTTTGAGACTCTGATATACTAAATGATTCTAATCTAACCCCTCCTGTTGCTTAAGTATATACAAAAAAGTTTCCCCACCCCCCAGTGAAAGACACTTAGAGAAATAGCAGGTGCCCCCTATTATATTTGTTTACAATTAATTCAGACAAGAGAAAATTAATACTTTTGATAACAAATCAAAGTGCAGTGTCTGATAGTCTTATACAGTACAACCATAATCTACATTATTGAATTTCATGCTTTAAAAAGGGGAATTCAGATTAATTTGTAAAAAATTAAGAAATGCAATAATTGACTTAAAACCCCAAAATGTACACCACAATAAGAGGCTGAAAAGTTAATAAATGAAAAATTTACCTGCAAATGTACAGAAATCTGTCCGACAAAATATATCGGGTGGGTAGCGAGTCTCCATCTTCTTCTTATATAGAGAAAATGCCCCCCGCCGATCAGAACCAAGCTCTCCCGGGTCCAGGAAGCTGAAATATGAAAGTCCTCTATAGTCTTTAAATGAAAATAAATCAATAAAGTTAGTCAAATTAAGCATAAATCATAAAGAAAACAGCAATATTTTTCAAGTTTTCTGAAAAATTACCAAATTACATATCTTCTACATGGCCAAATGTTTAAAAAATGGATCCGTCAAGGTTGGAATACATGTTTTACAATTTTACATGTAATTACATGTAAATATTAGAAAAATCAAATGTGATACATGCAGTAATGCCATTCCAATAATTCAAGAAAACAAAATCAGAAGCCTAAGGTCACAATAATTAAGATTATATCATGTTGAAATTCTACATATTTGGTTAGCTAGTCTAAGGGAAGTAACTCTAAGTACAAAAACTGGAAAGCAGTAGAAAATGAGTTGCAGAGAGTCACCCTGATGGAACTACAAAGAGCAAAAAGAGGGAAAACACATACCTTTGTGTAGCTACAATATAGAAACAACCAAACTACAAACTGATCCCCCCGCAGTCAAAGGGAGGCAATCCAGAGGATCACATACACTACCGACATGATACGTCAAGACAGAAAATGACCTCCTTTCACATGAACACCACGAAACGCACTTTTAAGGGCCGAATAAATTATTCGAAAAGATACCAAACGTGCAGACGTATAAGAAACTAAACAAAAATTAACACCAGGCCACCATCCTACACTTCCAAAAGTACACATATATAGCAAATCATATAAATACACAATTACATGTACATGTAAAATACATACATAAATTTATGAATACATACAAACATTTATTATAAGATCAATCTAATACATTTTCTTTACTTACCTTTCTCCTATGGCCAAGTCAACTACACATTGTTTTACCAATTTCCATCCTCTGTACCCCCCCCCATCCCCCCCCCCCCAATCTCTACAAAAGACCCAAAATCACCTCTAACCCTAATTCCACAGATAAATAATTCAAATTTTTGCTAATTTTTCTCTCGAAATGTCTTCAATATTCAAATAAATTGCTAAAAATAACTTTTCATGACTTTCACTTCACTTTACTTATGAAAAAATGGGGTCTCTATAGGGAAAAGAGTACCAATTAATTTCCCATAGAACTCTATACAAACCTTTTGCCCTCCAAGTAATTTACTAATTCCCGTTCAAACAAATCACTGGTATTATTTGAAAGTTCGTTCTAAGCACTTATTAAAAACACGAAAAAAAATATACCGTTCCGCGGCGTTTATAGGTCAAATTTGCAGTTATTTAGAACTTACAGAGATCGGCAGTAAATGACACCCTGCCAAAAATATCAATCCCCACTCCTACAATCTCCCCTGGTATTTCTAGAATTTTTGTAATATTCCCACATTCCATCATTTATTTCAAACATTAATATTTTTGCTTTAAAATGAAAATATTTACATACCTCAATTCAGCCAATCAGGTAAAGCCTACCCATTTATTACTCTGCTTCATCTTGTTCAACCAGGAAATGATGTCAAAATCTGGGTCTTTGGTGCTCTTTTTCCATAATCACACCCAACTTCGCAAGACACGAGTTTTCGGTCCGCTTAACCCCCCACGCCGATTGTGGGGTTTGAAGCGGGCCGAAATATCTTGGTGGCTCACATTGTCCTTAATCTGATTAACATGTTTGTTTATTTTGACGGAAGGGTATTACACTTTTTTAATATCCCGATTGGATTAAACCTCAATGTACTCTGTAATACGTACATTGTAAATAGTTTTATTATTTTTAATTTCTTGATTAAAATAATTGTCTCAAACCCTATAGGTATACACTTTCAATTAGCCCCCTCCCCAAACCCATTTTCAATATTGCTTCCGACAACAATGCAATGACAAACTTTACGATAAATTCTTATTGAAAGTTTAGTGAAAATTGGATAATTAGCTAGCTTTCTTCATAGAATTATGAGGAATCCTTTTTTGGGGGCTTAAATCAAGAGAAGTAGGATGTTCAGGGATCAAAAAGGTAGATGGTAAGATAATGTGATAAAAAATGAAGTGATGTTTCGATGATGATGAAGCAACAGTCGATGACGGGCAATGACAATGCAATATACATATAGAATGGTGTATAATGATGATGGTGCGATACACTGAAAAAAAAAATAACAAGTGAAAGTCACTGAGAAGACTAGTAAATTTACTGTCCATACAATCATAACCTTAAAAGTAGTTTTACTAGGTATTTAGTAGATTTACTAAGATAGCATACGTTAATCTCGAATTTATCAGTAACTTTCACTAGGTAGGCGTACCGTTGCATCATTGTCATCTTGCTATAAGACCATCGTTTCATAGTAATCGCTTTATAGGCTCAATGTCAAAATTATGTGAAGCAAGCTAGCTAATTATCAAATTTTTGCTAAACTTTCTTAAGAGTTTGTAAAGTCTGTCATAACTGGTTTCATATTGGCGTCAAAAAAAAAATGAAAGGGGGAGGGGGGGGTGGTAATTGAAAAAGAAAAAAATCAAAACTGAGTAATTATCGACATGCCATACAAAAAAACCCTACGCCCCAATGTTTAATGCCTTTTTTATATCTATCTTTTCCAAAAAAAAAAAAGTGGGGGACTAAGCTCGCCCACCCCACCGGTTCGATCGACACCTATGTTTTATATTTCTCAGCTCAACCAAACACATGTGCATGCACTGTTATTGAATTTAATCAGCCTTTGCCATGCACAATTTAGGAAATTCAATACTAGGAGGTAAAAATACCCATCTGAGTTCTTGTATTATTGCTTGCTTCTCAATAGGTAATAAAATCTTCATGCATTATCACTTGCTTAAAAATGAATTAACGATCGATTATTGAAGTCAGCATAACTTTTAAAAATTAAATACATGTATTTGGCTTTCTTATTGACAAAATAAAGTAAGATATATTTCATTTTCTTTGTAGATACAAAAACTATCAATGAAACAAAATATAAATAGTGAGCGTGAAGTCCAAACTCCAAGACAATTTAAAATTAAAAAAATTTTTTATTATTTTTTTTTTATTAAACATCACCTACAGTTCTTTTTTGACAACAAAAATTTCATAAGCTCCAGTACTATCAATTTTATGATGAGTTTCGAAGTACTTTTGGAGAGTGTCCTCTTTTTTCATTTGTGTCACTTTTCTGACCATGTTCTGAATTTCTGCATCCGTGCAGACATCCCAAAAGGAATTCAAATTTCTCCAAGATTCATGAATAGGTCCATCCAAGTCCCCATAAGCAGGAAAGTATGACATCATTAATGATCTAAAAGCCGATTTCAAAGTAAATCCAGAGTTTTTCAGCATGTCTTTCATTTGCTTATGGGTGGGTAACAGCTTATGCCATTTCTTCATGGCTCCTGGTACAAGATGTACAAACCAATTTCCTTCCAAATTTTCTGGTGTATCCGTTATAATGGTCAGCACTCCGCCTGGCTTGAGGATTCGGTAAACTTCCTTCAGTGTCTTAAGCAACACTGGATACGACTCGCCATCAGGATTTTTTTCCAAATGATGCACGACCTACCAAATAAATATAATTAAAGAATGTTTATTCTAGCAATAACAAAACATAAACTTCGCAAATAAAAAAAGATACATTTATTTTTCGGGGGAGGGGGGCAATTTCTGGTTGCTACAATACAAAAGTAAGGGAAAGAGGTCGACCATGCAGCCTTTACATGTTTTTTTTGAATAGAAAAAAAGTTTTGTTTGAGGCAGTCATCCCCCGCCCATCCCTCTCGATACTTTGCGCCTGAAAATTAAAATAATAATGCACTTACGTGGTTGATCATACCAGCGTCAAATGAATTGTCTTGGTACGGTATTTCCGGAAGAACTGCTTGTTTGAAGGTCAGCTGAGTCTTGTTTGATGGCGTTTTCACTTTTGCTCGAGCCTTGTTAAGCATTCCTTCACTAGCATCCAGTAATGTCAGACTTCGCGGCTCAAATTGAATAAAATATTCGGAAAAATTTCCTGTTCCAGAGCCAATGTCGATTATATCCATTTCCTAAAAGTAGATGAAATCATACAGATATAAAAAGATCTATTTATTAATCATTTTTAAAGGGGGAAGGGTACAACAAAAGATACTTTTTACCTGAAATTTCTTTCCTGTGAAGTTTTCCATCGTACTTTTGAGAACGTGGCCATCAAAAGCCTTTCTTCCACCGTCGTAAACCTTGGAAACTTCGTTGTAATTTGTCAAATTGCTCATTTTATTATTAAACGGGGATAACTGCAAGATTAAACTGAGAATTTATTTCATTTGAAATCAAGACCATTGAACCCCCTTTTATACCTGTATACGAATGTTCATTGTTGAAGCGGAAAGATGATCCTATACAACACGGATGTGCGCAATTATTCACTTAAGCACTTCAGCAGTGGATGATCTATTTGTAGTTGTATTAGAAAGTGCACATAGTGAAATGAGGTTTCAATTTCTTTTTCATTTCTCAGCAAATATTCATTGATATATATATATATATATATATATATATATATATATATATATATATATATATATATATATATATATATATATATATATTGAAACAGAAAAAAATCCACAGTGCTCGGTAGTTTACAGGTAAATCTTTTTAAAAAAGAAACACGGAAACCTTTAGTTTTTAGGTTTTCGTGTTTCTTTTTTAAAAAGATTTACCTATATATATATATATATATATATATATATATATATATATATATATATATATATATATATATATATATATATAAAGCACTAAAAAACCAACAACACTGTATATCCTAAATGTCGGATCTACGAAGTAGATACAAGGTCACGGATGGAAATTTATATAAAGCACTAAAAATGACCAACGACACGAACAATAAAAATTGTCAAATTTTCGGGACGCCCTGTCCCTTCCTCAGGACAAAGAAAAGAGTTAAAAAGTCATAAGAACAAAGGAAAAAGCGAAACAAAAAACAACTAGCACTACTACTAAACTACTAAACACTATATATTTACATACTAAGTTACATGTTGATTTGGAAATTTTTAAGAACACTATTAAAGAAAGAATCCGGACCGCTATGAAATGCGTCCGGTCTATCGGGTATACTCGGGTGAAGTGCGATTTACATAATTGAACGAATTAATTATGCTAATTAATTACGACAATCAGTAAATCGTACATTGTTTCATTCTCTCAAAATGGCGTAACTATACTTGATAAAGAATAACCAAAGAAAAATAATATAGAAGGGGCATTTTAACATATGAATTATGATCTAGACTATTATAAATTTTAATTTGAAATGTTTTAGGACTGATTATCGGTAAAAAAATAATTAATAATTAATTAACAAAGGCGTAAGCAATACATAGTTATGTGGGTTGTTCGAGAGTTGGTGACGCAAATTAACTGTGGAGTTTACACTAAATTGAGAGAATAATCTTGTTTGGTATCATCAGGAATCGGGTCTAGTTTACGTTCATTCTGGTGAAGTCATTCAGTTTGTTAATACCATTGGGGCGGAATGACTTCAATCTGTGCATCCAGAACTTTTCTTTGCTTTTTCTCTGAGCGTCTTCTTTGTAAGCACAGCACTGACACAGACAGTTTTAACAGCCCTGTTACAGGCCGCAGCTACAAAATACTAGGAAGTTTGTCCTGTCATACTGACAACTGCATTTATCTCATCAGTTGCAAAGTTTGCTCCAAACAGTATATTGGTGAAACAGGAGATCTCCGCAGGAGAGTCAATAACCACCGTTCGACCATTAGGACCAAAAAACTCAATGAACCCGTTGGGGAACATTTCAACCTTGAGGGTCACAAATGGGAGGACATGACAGTAGTGGTGATTGATCATAACCCAAGATGGACAGACGCTCAGAGAAAAAGCAAAGAAAAGTTCTGGATGCACAGATTGAAGTCATTCCGCCCCAATGGTATTAACAAACTGAATGACTTCACCAGAATGAACGTAAACTAGACCCGATTCCTGATGATACCAAACAAGATTATTCTCTCAATTTAGTGTAAACTCCACAGTTAATTTGCGTCACCAACTCTCGAACAACCCACATAACTATGTATTGCTTACGCCTTTGTTAATTAATTATTAATTATTTTTTTACCGATAATCAGTCCTAAAACATTTCAAATTAAAATTTATAATAGATCATAATTCATATGTTAAAATGCCCCTTCTATATTATTTTTCTTTTGTTATTCTTTATCAAGTATAGTTACGCCATTTTGAGAGAATGAAACAATGTACGATTTACTGATTGTCGTAATTAATTAGCATAATTAATTCGTTCAATTATGTAAATCGCACTTCACCCGAGTATACCCGATAGACCGGACGCATTTCATAGCGGTCCGGATTCTTTCTTTAATAGTGTTCTTAAAAATTTCCAAATCAACATGTAACTTAGTATGTAAATATATAGTGTTTAGTAGTTTAGTAGTAGTGCTAGTTGTTTTTTTTGTTTCGCTTTTTCCTTTGTTCTTATGACTTTTTAACTCTTTTCTTTGTCCTGAGGAAGGGACAGGGCGTCCCGAAAATTTGACAATTTTTATTGTTCGTGTCGTTGGTCATTTTTAGTGCTTTATATATATATATATATATATATATATGTTTTGCTAAGAGTAATTTGCACAACCTATAACGAAAGCAATTTTTATTTTATCTACGTCTGGGATATAAGAAGTGGCTGCTCCTGTAACTTCTACAACTTTAAACAGGATGTATAATATACATGTATTATTAAATCAAATGTTGATGGACGTATCACCAAGATTTTTGCGTTGTCATGGGTGATAACACTGAAAAAGATGACCAAGGCTCTGAATAAAACCTGATGATAGACGCTTGAAAATCCACAGAAATTCAAGTTATATTCCGATCACTGGTAAATGACCAGTTTTATTTCCTTGTAAATGAATAGGAGGCCAGACGATTGGGATTGGGGGAGAACTGCATGGTTTAGCACAATAGCAACAGTGCTACTTCGACATTGTTAAGAATAACCAGACGGTTTACAATAATCACCGTAATTTAAAAAAATTCAGTACTTAGTGTTTAAGAATATTTATTGACAAAAATAAAATTTTGATGAAATATGTACAAACATGACATCATATGTATAATGAAATAAATTAACAAATGAAAAAACATTAGGGGAAAATAAAATATTTTAAATAATTTTTATCCTAGAATGGATGATAGATGATTTCTAGCGGGAAGAAGCACGTGATCAATGAGATGTACGACTCCATTAGTGGCGCTTATGTCCGCCTGGATAACATGGCCTTTTTTATTCACCGTTACAGCTCCTGAAATAATAATTGCACAAAAATATCTATATTCAGTGAAATTAGTTGACCATAAGATTTTAATTTAAATTTAAAGCAATCTATTCGAAAAAAAAAATAAAAGCTAACGAATCTATTCGGATAAAAAATGAAATCAAATGATTTACATGTTGATCGATAAAAAACTTATTTGAATGCTGATTATATTTTTCGAAATTTTAAAGTGCATATTATCATAAATTACCGTGACTGACTCCGAGTCTGATGACGTCATGACGAGTATCTAATGTCCTCAAGTGTTCGCGGTTGTAAAGACCGGCAGAGTATTCAGTGTGAGGAACAACATGGTATTCCAGAATTTCTAAAATAAGTTAAGAAAATGATCGATCTGAAAAATACTCAAAAATAATACAAATATTCAGTGCTACATGTAGCATAAACCAGAAGTCTTTGTCGAGACTGTAGCTCTTCTGGTATATACTTATTATAAAGGAAGAGAAAATTAGCAGTTGGGACTTACAACTTTACAAAGCATTTTTAAAAAGGTTAATAATCCTTGATTAAGTCTCTTTTTGTAGCGAGATTGCAATAAGACTACAACTGTAGGAGAAGCTTTTATTAAAATTTTATAGAAATTTCAATTTTAGTTACCATGGCAACATCGATCATCAAAATCAAAAACACAAAACTGAAAATTATACCCCCGGTATATATCTGTGTAGTCTACTTTCATGCCAAATTATATTTTAATCAGACTAAAACTTATTTTGAATAGCATTTTGAAAGTATTTCACAGTTATTTCTATTTGTGCTAACCATGGCAACACCCTTCATCGAAATAAAAAATCAATATACAGAATTATATATTTATGTGTAGTCCACTTGTTTGCCAAGTTATATTTAAATCAGACTAAAATTGTATTTGGAGTTGCATTTTGAATGTTTTTCACAGAAACTTCTATTTTTAGTAACCAAGGCAACACTGTTCATCGAAATCAAAAACCGATCGACAGAATTATGAATTTTAGTCTACTCTTCTTGTGTGCCAATTTATATTGTAATCGTCGCCGGCGTGGCGCAGTGGTTAGAGCGTCTGCTCTAGAGTCGTGAAGTAAAGAGTCAATCCTTACGTCGCGGGTTCGAATCCCACTGCGGGACGTGGAGACCGGTCCTTCGGATGAGACCGTATAAACCGAGGCCCCGTGTCGCAGTAGGTGCTGGCACGAAAAAGATCCCTCACTGCTCAAAGGCCCTGAGTGCCGAGCATAGGAGAAAATTTGTAGCCATCCACCGGCAAGTGGTGGCGTCTCCATATGAGTGAAAAAAATTCTCGAGAGGGACGTTAAGCAACATACAATCAATCAATTATATTGAAATCAGACCAAAACTGTAGGAGGAGTAGCATTTTGAAAAATTATTTACGGACGACGGACGCATTACTATCACATTAGCTCTTCTGGTCTCTGGCCAGTAGAGCTAATCAAAGTACTCAGAAGTACAGAGAGCCGGGCTCATTTACAGAGTAGAATGGATTTCTTACATGAATCGCGTTTATATTCTGATGAAAAAATTACTTTAAAACTATCAATATAAATGATAAGACACTGACAGTGAGTTTTTCAATCCAAATACCACGGTCCTATTTTGTCAGAATCAGAATTAATCTGGCTGAATGTAAACAAACAGGCCAATCTGGTTCCCTCTCCTACTTCACCTCGTATGTGTAGAGAACTACGGTAACACTGATTATCAAAAATCCTTACGCTAATGAACTATGTTCTTTGACTTATGAAGTTTTCAAAGTCAATATTACTAATGTTTATTTTATATAGATAAAACTTCGTTTTATTTTTGTTGCTTTATTTAGCGTTTGTATTATCTCAAAAGCGGCTGAGAGTAAGAACTATATTTTTGCACGTAACTTTGAAATGGCGACTATGGGGTTAACATCCTGCCTTGAACAGGATCACATAAGCCGGCAATTGCTCTTTGAGCAATAAGCCCGGCTAAAAATGAACGTCTAGAAATTCCACAGGGAAATTAGGGAAATTAGAATAGTAAAGATTGATTGTTGATTGATTGTACAGCAAAACTCGGTTATAACGAAGTCACTGGGACCTATGAAATCACTTCGTTATATCCGTAATTCGTTATAACCGTATAAGAAATTCATTAAATTTAAATAGCTGGGAAGATGACTTCGATATATCCATGAATTCGTAATATCCGTGTTCGTACTAAACGATTTTTGCTGTATATTGTTTAATGCCGACTATAAGTTTAAATAATCGGTTTTTGAAAGATTTTGGTTTCTGTGCCCGCCCCTAGAGAGCCTACTCTTTTTCAAACCCCAGAGAAACGATCTTTTTCGTGCTAAGGGGGTTGTCATCCTTGACACGGGGCACCATTTTACGTCCCGTCCGACCGACTTAAAATTTCTTGGAAAATGTGTAAACTCTTAAAAAATATTGTATAAACTGTTGATAAAATAAATTGATATATGTATTTCTCATCAAAAATGAATTTATTCAAATTTTACTATAATAATCCGTTTCTAGTAGATATTCTAAAATTTTATTAACATGTACATTTGTAAAAACCTCATACATTGTTTTAATATTTCAAAAAAGTTTACTTCGAATAGGCGTAAAATTCTACATTCTAAAAGGATATGATTGATAGTTATCGGACAGTCACACGATATACATACTGGCTGAGACTCCCAATTCAATAGGTACATGTATTCATGTGTAATATTTGAGTGGCCTATACGTATTCTTGATATAATTACTTCGTCTTGACGCGCGTATCAGACTGAAGTTAGATGACTTGTTAACTTTGTTTTCAATAGCATAAAGCTTACTTTTATTACAAAAATTCCAATAAATTTGCCAAAGAGAATCAATGTATATTTTAACGAGATATTTCAAGTCAGTGTAAGGAATTTTGAATAAAGTCATTTCATGTTAAGTGCCGTTTTTGCAGCACTGTCAGATTTAGTGTCTCCAGGGATGCCGACATGACTCAGAATCCGACAAAAGTTTACCTTTTCACCTTGTTGCGCTAAATAATATATCTAAAATCATCTAAAATGTAAGGTTGGTCAATGTTCTTATTTTGTATAGATTGTAAGCAAGAGAGCGAGTCCGAAAATATTGTGAATATTTTTTCCACTAGAAGATTTTATATATTCAAATGCAAGTTGTGTGACTTTTGCTTCAGCAGTAAAAATTGTTGCTTTATTTGGAAGACGTGTAGAGAAAACACTGCCTTCCATCACAGCAGCTGATGCAACTTTATTTTTATCCTTTTAACCATCTGTATATATCTCGATTGTTGAACCATTAAAATATTTTATTTCGCCATATTTTTGCTTAAAAACAAGAGAATTCGTGTCTGATTTCTTAAATTCAAAAATAAATCTACATTTGGTTTTAAAATAATTTCCATGGCGGTATTTCGGAGAAATAAGTAGGCTTTATAATATCCAAAGGTAAATCAGATTCTCTGATATGTTTTTAAGATCTTAGACCGAGGGGTTTTACACATGAAGAGTAAATACATGTATTGGGGATAATGAAAACTCTACAACACCAACTTATGTGCGAGTAGCCTGTTTCGTTTAAAAACTGGTCGTACTTGGAACATACTAGTACTCTTGAGAAGTCAGTAAGTTATTGGATATACATGCAAACACACTGTGCAGTTGATATCGGAATATCACTACATAAATATGAAAAGATGAAAATGTTCAACATATTTAACTTTTACAAACCTTTCAGAAGTTCGGGATTTGAGTGTAAATTATGCAGGACGTGGGATCCAAGATTATGAAAAGCTGCATTGGTTGGCGCAAAAACCGTGAGGGCATCACCTGTAAAACAGATACAAAATGTTACAACTAGTACCTTACTGAACATTTTTTAGGTTAGATGATCTCCATGGAGATATTTTCCCACCTTGTAGAGAACCAGCTAAGCCAGCTGTTTTGACCAATGATAGGAGAGTACTGAGTTGACTGTTGCCAGCCACCAAATCCACGATATTTCCTGTTGGTGGCATCATAACGGTGTCGATTACATGAACGATCCCATTGGAAGCTGTCAGATCAAAATGTGTGATGTTGGATCCTTCAACTGTCACAGCCTACAGTAGAATAAATTATAAATGAGTATTTTGGAGGTGAACAATTGACAATTGCTACACGTCAGAATTTGGTTTGGTGATGAAAAATTGTTGCCTATTATAAAGGGCAGTGGTTACTTTTTGAAGCGGGCCATCAACAGATATAAGAGAGTGAATAGACTCACGTGATTGTGATTGTAGATGTTGAATCTGATTTTGGTTCCCGCCAAAGTCTCCAACTGAAGTTCATTAGAGGCATCAGCTTTGTGGATGGACCCCTTGACAACGTGATATTTCAGGATGTTGGCCAGAGCTGTTGTGTCCTTTGAAAGACTGTCAAGTGTAGCTTGTGGAAGCTTGGCAAAAGCAGCATTTGTTGGTGCAAAAATTGTGAATTCCCCTGAAAAGAACATACTGATTGATCTAAAGATAACATTTCTTGGGAGAAAAGGTTTCTAGATACATTATTAAAAGACCGTTTAAACATCTTCCAGTGACAAATGTCGAGGGAGGAAATTCCGATAATTGTAGACGATTCTTTATTTATAAAATATGGTATAAAGATTACTTATATTAATTCGTAATTATTATAAACAGAAGTAAAATGAGTGGTTGAGATTCTTATAGTCCCTTAATATTTGTAATCATGAAACATTCACTATGACTGGTTTGCTATAATACAGTATTCATTAATCATTTAATTAAATATTTTTTAGCTTACTATAATATAGCATTCATTGATCATTTATTTACATATTTTTTTAACTTACTATAATACAGTTTTCATTAATCATTTATTCAAATATTTTCTAGCTTACCTCCTAACAAAGCATCAGCTAATCCTGTTTGCTGTACAAGAGCAATAAGAGTTGTTTCCCCGTCGTTTTGGAGAACTTCTACGAGGTTTCCAGCGAAAGCACTCTGTACAATTACAGCCAATGTTAGGAAGCCAATCATTTTGAGCTTTTAACTAGATCTAAAGTTTGGACTGAACTGTATAAAGCATAAAATGTCCGAAGTTTTATAGTATCCATCCTTTATGTAAAACAGAAAGATATTTTATGCAAGGTGGACATAGCATCAGATTCGAAAATGTGAATGAAATGTTTCATAATGCCCTCATGCAATTGTTGGGCACCAAAAGGAAAGCATTGTAAGAAAAGTACTATTGTAACAGTATCTCCGTTTCTTTTCTTTATAATCTGGAGATTAGCAACTGATGTTTTTCAAATTTGCGAAGGATAACATCTTTAAACAAATAAAAATAGGAAGAATTGAAGGAATATTCTTTTGGGGGCCTCAACACGTTTTTCCGCGTTTCTTAAGGAATCCGTACGTTGACCAGATCTAAGCCTCGAACATAAGTTGTTATCATGTGTACGATTATTAAGGCGTTTATCAAATTGAAGACCGTTGCATGTGACACACTTTACCATGACTTAATTGTACTTAAGACGCTTCAGATGTTATCAATGGAGTGATGTCGATTTTGAAATTTACGCCTGCTCCCGTCCCCCATTTACACTTCCTTAAGGAATTTCAACAATATGAATATTTCTCTGTTACATATTACGAATCGATTCCTTTTTATGAAACTTGCCAATGTATTTTATGATGATTTTGGACAAAATTTCAAACATTTTTTATTAGTAATAGTAATTTATAACATCGTTCATTAGTAATCATAATTTCTAGTTGAAACAAAACTTTAACACTACAAATACTAGTAAATTTATATCGCATTACCTTTTCCCGCAAAAATGATTTCAAAATGTGCTTTATTGTGTAAGAAGCCATCAGGCTCTAAGCAATTTCAATACATTAAAGTTATTTAATCTGTTGATATTTCCTTATCAGGGACGCATCTTTTTCCTAATAGTAATTTTCAAAATTGGGTAACACTCAAATCAAATGGAAAAAAATTGATGACACTGACGGAAATGCCAAAGATCCTACCTGGAAAAGGCCGCCCTACGTACATTAGACCATCTTGTGTCTTTTTTTTCTTTTTTGCAAAAATTTGTTCAATTAATGATGTGAGATTAAAATGAATATATAAAATATTTATTCACACAAGTGTCCTTATCTACATGTACGAAACAAATAAGCAGGCTAGCTGAATAAATGAAAATGAAAGTATGAGATTTGGGAGGTTGTATGATGGTTGATAGCGGAAACATTATGAAAGATACTGTGCATTACTAAAGTGTTTGAAGTATAGGAAATTAAGCTTATGAATAGTAGTAGCTGACTGATTTATAAGGAACTTTGTAAACAAAATGAATAGTACTGTAATGAAAAATTTTGGCGAAAACCTACCGACTACCAGAGATGCAAGAATGTGCGGTGCTGCCCTCTTTCAACTGTTCAAGTAAATCGAAAGGCAAGTTTACTTTTATAAAATATTTTTATGAACAGAGCAATAGATTTATTTAATATATATAACACCTCTCTCACTCTCTCATTGTCATCTTCTCCATCGCCACTAGGGATGTTCTTCATCAAGGCCTATGGGCCTCATGTTAATACCAAAACATTCTTATTAGTTTGGATTTTTCTAATACAGGGATCTGCAGAAACTGCACAGGATACCAACAACTGGGATATCCACCTTGAAGCTGCATTATTTGGTATCCGACAGGCGAAGTAAAATGTAAAAAAAAAAATTCATCCGTCTATGAGATTTCATATGTTAGCATGCCAACCCTTCCATCAGAATTAAACCTATAAGAGAGCATCAATCCAAACAAGGCGACAGAGGCACGTGTAAATAACCTGAACAGCTTTAGGCAAAAAACTAAAATTCTGTCCACGAAAACATCAAGACTGGACAGTGTAGGATGAAAGAGGCACAACAGAGAAAAGTTACAACAAGGCTAAAGTTCAAACCAGGAGATACCGCAGGAACTCTCGTAAACTGCAGTGGACGCTTTCCAAGCTCAAGGAATTGAACTGGCTAGGGCCAAACACTATTGATTCCATTTCAAAGAGCGGTGTTGCAGTTCTGAAAGATAAATCTGGATCAAGGCTTCAAAGGAAATGTAGAACTGCCAATTTGAATCTGCAGAGAAAAAGGCCTGAACATTTGCAGCCAAAGAGGAAACCTGAGCATGTAAAGACAGCAACAAGCACCAACCCCACCCAAGCCACCAGGAACGTGCACCTGGAGAGCGCTGAAGGCATCTCGGAGCCCACTCAAAACACTACCGACCAGCATCTTAAGGAGGAAAGCCAAACTCTGTTGGACCTAAGGCCTCTTAAAAAATCCAACCTTGGCGCCAAAAAGAACACTCGTAGGGGAAAAGGAGACACGAACAAGAACACCTAGCAGCACCACAGAGTCGACCCAGGCCAAAATCAAGAGGGATCAGATTAGCAACCAACATGAAACTACAACAAAGAATCCTCCTGTGAGATATCTTTCTTACCATACGCCAAAGAAGACATTCAGCAAACAATAACATAATTTCTCCAAACAGACTTGGTAGCAGCTATCCAAACGTCGCTGATGAAGAAAATGCCATTCATCACAAGCCCTTTACAGATGCCAGTCTGCAACTCGGATTTAAGGCTAGCCTTGATTAAGGATATGAACAAAAAGGCATTTGATTTTTATATTTGACCAAGTTATCCAGGAGATCAGTGGTAAAGATTTGGGAGAAAAAAAACCAGTGTCGCCATGCTGTAATCAGCAGCCATCCTGCATAAACAGAACACCACTGGAGGAATTTTTGAACAAAATTAAGGAAGTAGCGAGGAGGAAGTATTAAAGAAATTTCTGCTATCTAAATCAAATATGAATTTGTTTATATTAGATCACAAGTGTATTTTTTTTTTTTTTGCTAAATATTAGCAAGTAGTTATAAACAGTTAAAAAGGGGGTCATTGTTGTTATAGACCATGCGAAGGGAGCGAATCAAAACTAATCATATATTGCTTTCATAAAAAGGTAATCTAATTCATTTTTAAACAAGAATACCCTGGTAGATATGGGTTACCCCATATCCAAAGATATTCGACTTCTAGATTTAATATGTTTAACAGTGTTTATAATGACGTTAATAAAAAAAACTGCACTGTCTAATTATGGTCACCCAGTCTCCTAAAAAACAGTTCACATAGGCCTGTGTCCGCAAGACCAACATTAGCCTTGGTCTACACACGTGCGATGGAGCTGTCAAACGCATCCAGCGAGCTCGGAGAAACACGTTTTGTTTTGCCGAGAAGTTACGATGGCAGACAAAACTTTTCTTTTCTTAATTAGATCATATGAATACGAATTCTGATTAATAATAAAAATTATACAATCCCTGTTGAACTAGTTTGTTCTAACATTTCCATCTGCAACAACTTGTGTTTAAAATGGCCGGGTTAGGAAAATCAGGACCAGATCAGAAAATTCTAAACTGAAAACGTTTTTTGTTTTGAAAATTATGAAATATACTAATGTATTCGTCGCAGAAATTACTTATATTATTCAAGTTCTTTATAAAATGGTATGCTGAACTTCAACACGAACCCGAATCTCCGACCCAGTTTTCGTTTTGCTAAACATTTTATACCCTACAGTTTACAAAGTGTACACACGTTCAGAATCCGGCCAGGGATTGAAAATTCTGTCATTTAATAATACACACACACACAGAATGATTAATATTTTCTTTAAGAGGAAATTGTATGATAATTAACGGACTATAAACATGTACTTAATACAATTGTTGATATAGGATTATCAATTCATCGGTGAAAAGATATGAATCGAAGAATGACCTAAATATTCTCTGTTATCAAACATGTAAAAAAAAACAGAAGTCTCTGTCAAGACTGTAGCTCTACTGGTTTGTACTTATCAAAAACCATTGTATGTATGTATCTTTGTATTGTCTACTTGTGTGCCAACTTATTTTGAAATCAAACTAAAACTGTAGAAGGAGTAGCATTTTAAAGGAATTTCACAGAAAATTCTATTTTTAGTAACCACGGCAACACCGTTCATTGAAATCAAAAACCAATGCACTATTCGATGTATCTTAGTGTAGTCTACTTGTGTGCCAAGTTATATTGAAATCAGTCCAAAACTGTAGAAGGAGTAGCGTTTTTAAGGAATTTCAAAGAAAATTCTATTTTTAGTAACCATGGCAACACTGTTCATCGAAATCAAAAACCGATGCACTGTTCTATGTATCTTAGTGTAGTCTACTTGTGTGCCAAGTTATATTGAAATCAGACCAAAACTGTAGAAGGAGTAGCGTTTTTAAGGAATTTCACAGAAAATTCTATTTTTAGTAACCATGGCAACAGCGTTCATCGAAATCAAAAACCGATGCATTATTCTATGTATCTTAGTGTAGTCTACTTGTGTGCCACGTTATATTGAAATCGGACCAAAACTGTAGAAGGAGTAGAATTTTAAAGGAATTTCACAGAAAATTCTATTTTTAGTAACCATGGCAACACCTTTCATCGAAATTAAAAACCGATGCACTATTCTATGTATCTTAGTGTAGTCTACTTGTGTGCCAAGTAATATTGAAATCAGACTAAAATTGTAGGAGGAGTAGCGTTTTGAAAAATTGTTTACAGACAGACGGACAGACAGACAGACGGACGGACGCCGGACGCATTACTATCGCATAAGCTCTTCTGGTCTCTGACCAGTAGAGCTAAAAAGGCTGAGGAGGGAGCGAGCGTAGGAATATTGATATTTTTTATTTGCATTTCGAGGGGAAAGTGACTTTCTAATAATATTTTGACGTTATTTTTGATTTCTTTAACGTATGACATACACAACTTTACTCTTATCATGAACAATAATGTTGTATCTACTTATCATGATGGAACTATTTTGGTCGGACCAATTTGTGTTAGCCGCCGCTGACTACAGTAATATATCTTGCATTAATAGTATGCACTGATCGAATATATTAAAAAATCAAGATAAAACGCAGCACAATTTCTCCTGTCGACAAAACTAAAGCCTTTACTAATTCATCACCTGTGTTTTTAAGAAGAGGGAAAGGTCCTTTCAATGTTGAACTGCTAGCTGCAACACTCTGTCATGTTCAATTCTCTACGATGTACAGAGATGCAGAATTGGCTTTAAAAAGTTAAGTGAGGGGGATTCGATAGCTAGAATGATTATTATACATTGAAATAAAAGATGACATAGTAGCTCTCTTGATTTTTAAAGAATTAAACCAAACAATAAAAATATTCTTTTTTTTCTAAATTAGTAAATTACATTTTCGTGAACTGAAAGATACTAAACAAAATTGAACGAAAATTATTCCGTAACAACCCCCCACCCCCCTTTCGGGAGATAATCTTGAATGATATTGTATTATATGTACTCGTACCTAGAAAGAGGACATCCCCATCCCCGGGTATTATATTGTCTATGAAACATTCGATAATAAATTCTAATTTCATTCCGCATTAGATAGCAAATGTATAAATATATTGTTTGAGATTTATTTTTATCGTTCCTTAAAATATTAATCTTTACCTATAAATATATAATTTCTATCATGTAATTGATACAGGTATGTCGTAATATTTAACGATTAAATTATTGAGACAGCAAAAGAGTTGTCTCCATCTACAGCGGCTGTAAAGAAGAGGCAGCAAAGAGAGAGGCTTGCTCGGGAAAAAAAAGGAAGAAAGTGAAAAAAGACAACAAGTAACAGCCCTTAAGAGTGAACATATTCAAGAGAAATTACAGAAGGAAGAAAGACTCAGGAAAAATCACGGAGAAAGGATGATGGCGAGCAAAGAAAAAAAATACGCAAAACAATCTTCCGCTCACATAAGAGGAACAACAAATATTTCAAAATAAAACTAGAGGTACTGTGAGCGATAAGCTCACTAAATGATACCCCCCGCCTCCATATACTAGTAGTTTAAATGGAAAAGTCCATGTTTTGCTGTGGCCGGAAAACCCTAAAAAATGTGTCGGATCAAAATGTAAAATAGGAGGTGCACAATGGCAATATGTAATAAAGATTCTGTGAAAGTTTCATCAAATTTCATTCAATGGTATGAGAGGAGTTGCGGATAAGAGATGGGTGCCCCATAGCGTAACAGACGGACGGACGGGCAGACGGACGGAATTAACGATTACTATTTACCCTTCCGCTTTTCAAGAAGGGGATATAATGAGTAAATCCCTGCAGAAAGAAAGTTAAAGGAAGCATTTCCCAGGACACCTGTAAATGTATTGTTACAGTAAAGGCATGCTTGTCTTCAAAATAATCACCCACGGTTAAGGCACTACAGCATAGAAAGGTTGTATCATCACCTGAAGATTGATTGATTGTATGTTGTTTAACGTCCCCCTCGAGAATTTTTCACTCATATGGAGACGCCACCACTTGCCGATTTTGTCCTATGCTCGGCACTCGTTGAAAACGATCTTTTTAGCACCTACAGCGACACGGGGCTTCGTGAAAACGTCCCACAGTGGGATATCTTGTGAAAATGCGACGTAAGGATTATCTTACTTCGTGAAAACCACTGCAATGAGCATGTAATTTTTAGCCCTCTTGTGAAAAATTTTTTTTTCAAAATGCTACTCCTCCTAAAGCTTTTTTCTAATTTCATTACAACTTGGCACACAAGTAGACTACACAAAATACATAATTCTGTATATCGGTTTTTGATTTCGATATTTTGAATATTAAATAGAAATTTCCGTGAAAAGAATTCAAAATGCTACTTCTACAGTTTTGGTCTGATTTCAATATATTAACTTGGAACACAAATAGAATACTACGGTGGTATATTTAGGACACGCAATTATTTTATTTTTAAATACCAGAAAAAAATTCTCTTGTGAAAACGACATAATTATCTTGTGAAAACGAGATATTATCTTGTGAAAACGAGAAATTATCTTGTGAAAACGAGATATTATCTTGTGAAAACGACTTATTATCTTGTGAAAACGAGATATTATCTTGTGAAAATGAGAAATTATCTTGTGAAAATGAGAAATTATCTTGTGAAAACGAGATATTATCTTGTGAAAACGAGATATTATCTTGTGAAAACGAGATAATATCTTGTGAAAACGAGATATTATCTTGTGAAAACGAGATAATATCTTGTTAAAACGAGATATTATCTTGTTAAAACGACTTATTATCTTGTGAAAACGACTTATTATCTTGTGAAAACGAGATAATATCTTGTGAAAACGACTTATTATCTTGTGAAAACGACTTATTATATTATGTTTTCACAAGATATTATCTCGTTTTCACAAGATAATAAGTCGTTTTCACAAGATATTATCTCGTTTTCACAAGATATTATCTCGTTTTCACAAGATAATATCTCGTTTTCACAAGATAATTATCTCGTTTTCACAAGATAATATCTCGTTTTCACAAGATATTATCTCGTTTTCACAAGATAATTATCTCGTTTTTACAAGATAATATCTCGTTTTCACAAGATAATAATCTCGTTTTCACAAGATATTATCTCGTTTTCACAAGATAATATCTCGTTTTCACAAGATAATATCTCGTTTTCACAAGATAATAAGTCGTTTTCACAAGATAATATCTCGTTTTCACAAGATAATAAGTCGTTTTCACAAGATAATTTCTCGTTTTCACAAGATAATTATGTCGTTTTCACAAGATAATTTTTTTCTGGTATTTAAAAAAAATAATTGCGTGTCCTAAATATACCACCGTAGAATACACTACATACATACATTTTTAATAACTTTTCATCGGTTTATGATTTCGTTGAACGGTGTTGCTGTGGTTACTAAAAATAGAAATTTCTGTGAAAAACATTCAAAATACTACGCCTTCACCAGTTTTTGGTCTGATTTAAAGATAAACCACGGTACTTTTACTCATAAACGTAATTCACTAGGCCTGCTTAATAAAACATTTTGGCGAAAATCCTACTAATAAAATCGGTACCGCCGTTTCAAAGATAATCACCGTTGAGCGTCTGCATTTGCACCTGTGAAAACGATCGATAATCCTTGATAATGTCACTTCCGGTTGAAATGCAATCAAGTTCAGTGACGTCACAAGTGTGTATCGCTTCCATCAAGTGATCAGTGGATAATGTCAGAAAGCGTTGTTTCGGCTAGTTCTGATTGTTCCTTAGAGGAAGAATCGTTAGAACTTTCTTGTGGATCGTCCAGTTTTGATGAGGATTCATTGCTGTGCAGTAATACAGAAAATGTGGGAGTAGAACCCTTTCGTTTTGAGCCCTTCGCTAGTGAACCCTCAGACGAAGAATCGACCACAAACGATGCGGGGCCCGAGGAAGCTAACCGTTTGCATTCTATTGATTGGTATGCGAGTAAAACGATAGAAAATATCACAAGAAGCATTTTAATCATTATTTTAAAAAACATATTAAATAAAAACATAATTCGACACCCATTTATCCCCCACCCAAAAACTTTCACACTAAAATCAGCTGAGGGCATGAATACATGTAAAGTTAGTCTCTACAAATTTTAATTTTGCGCTCATTTTTAGCTCTACTGGTCAGAGACCAGAAGAGCTTATGCGATAGAAATGCGTCCGGCGTCCGTCCGTCTGTAAACAATTTTCAAAATGCTACTCCTCCTACAGTTTTGATCTGATTTCAATATAACTTGGCATATAAGTAGACTACACTAAAGGCCGTGTCACACTGTCACGATTTTTGCTACGATTCCACACGATAAATCGATTCCACATCATAAATCGCCGACAATCGCCACGCTAGCCTAGCATTTTTTTGACAGAGGGTGATTTTTTTCCAGTGTGTCACGATACGACGACGATGTCCGCTCAACAATGTACGAGGCTTATACGACAACAGAACGAGTTTTGGCGAGTAATGTACGAACAAAGACGATAAAATAACGAACACAATACGATCCTTATACGAATTTGTACGATAAGACACGACTTTAAACGATGCTCTTACGAATACCTACAAGTCTGTACGATGCCTACACGATATTCCCTCGAACAGTGACGAGTTCTTACGAATATACTTGGTCTGAGTAGATATATAGAGAGAGGGTTGCTTGAAATTTCGAAGTTGTATAATCATGGCAGTAGCTACCGTTCGGAGGCTTCAACTGCTGCAATATTTGGGGGAACTGGAACAGAATATTGCAGAAAATGACAAGGCAGTTGCAAATTTATTACACAACGGGCGTCCACAGAGGCAAAGAAGAATATACTGGATCTAAACATGGATCACCAGATGAACTTATTATGGATACCGGTATTTTGATCGCTTGATGAAAGAACTTGAAACGGAGATTGTATTGTCATTCAAAAACTTCCCCAGAGTAGAGCCAGATATGTTTAGAGAGCTTGTAGACAGACTACAAAAGACAAGACACGTGGTTCAGAAAAGCTTTGGAACCTGGATTAAAGCTGGCCATTACACTTCGGTATTTAACTACAGGAGAGTCAGACACAAGTCTGATGTACGGATTTCGAGTTCCACATACTACATTTCCTTGCTGGTTTGTGAAGTTTGTGAAAGTATAATAGTGGAATATGCTGATGAAGTAATTGCATGTTCAACAACTACAGATGAGTCGCAAAAGTTAGTTGAGCAGTTCAGAATTAGATGGAACCTAGACCATGTCCTTGGTGCTTTAGATGGGAAGCGCTATAAAACGCCCCCCAAAACGAAGGTTCATTTTAAAAAACTACAAAGGGTTCCACTCCCTCATTCTTAAGGGCCTTATTGATGCTGATTATAAATTCATTTGGGTTGACGTAGGTGCAAATTGTTCTGCATCAGATGCTACTGTGTTTAACAACTCAGAATTAAAAGATGTTATCGAAAATCAAAATATTGGATTTCCAGAAGCTGCCCCTAAACCATTGATAACAGAAATATCCCGTATTTCATCGTGAGTGATGACGCCTTCCCTATCAGGACATGGCGTATGAAACCTTTCGCAAGGACTTTGACCAATGAGGAGCGTATATTCAACTAAAGACTCAGCAGAGAAATGCGTGTTGTAGAAAATGCATTTGGAATACTCGCAAAAAGGCCTAGGGGCCATAAAACTTAGACGATCGAGTTCACTTTTGATCTCAGTCTCACTTTTACCACAGGAATATAAAGTGAAAAAGTGAGACTGAAATGAAAAAGTGAGCTCATCTAACTTTTATGGTCCCCAGGCCTGATGGCAATGCCTCATAGCTCCAATGCGCAAAGAACCAGAAACTTTTTCATCTATTGTTGCTGTTTTCATGATTTGATGCGAATGATATTTCCAAATCTCCAAAACGCGTACAATCGTACTATTTCGCAGTCACTCGCACGGTACTTGTATTGCACTCGTCGTCAATTGCCTGTTTTCGTATCATATTCGCATGAAATCGTACGGCATTCCTTTTGAGTCGAGAAACACTCGGAAAAACTCGTGGGACACTCGCGATAAATCGTAGGAAAGTTGCAGAATCGGAAGTTCTACGAATTTTTGCGAGTGTCCTACGAATGTCAAAGATTTACAACGATTATGTGTACGAGTGTACTTCGATTGCTGTACGATCGCTTACGGATAATTAAAAATCGTACTGTGACCACGATTGTTTTGAACATGCTCAAAACAATCGCCGCGTTTGGCGATTGGCTGCGATGAAACACGAGTTAAGAAGATATACTACGACTATCTCTACGATGAACGCCGAATTACCGCGATTTTTTAACTCGTACTCTGTCGTAGCCAAAAATCGTGACAGTGTGACACGGGCTTAATATACATAATTCTGTGTATTGGTTTTTGATTTCGCCGAACGGTGTTGGCGTTGTTACTAAAAATAGAAATTTCTGTGAAATTCTTTCAAAATGCTACTCCTCCTAAAGTTTTGGTCTGATTTCAATATAACTTGGCACACAAGTAGACTACACTAAGATACATAATTCTGTGTATCGGTTTTTGATTTCGACGAACGGTGTTGGCGTTGTTACTAAAAATAGAAATTTCTGTGAAATTCTTTCAAACTGCTACTCCTCCTACAAATTTGGTCTGATTTCAATATAACTTGGCACACAAGTAGACTACACTAAGATACATAATTCTGTGTATCGGTTTTTGATTTCGCCGAATGGTGTTGGCGTTGTTACTAAAAATAGAAATTTCTGTGAAATTCTTTCAAACTGCTACTCCTCCTACAAATTTGGTCTGATTTCAATATAACTTGGCACACAAGTAGACTACACTAAGATACATAATTCTGTGTATTGGTTTTTCATTTCGACGAACGGTGTTGGCGTTGTTACTAAAAATAGAAATGTCTAAAATTCTTTCAAACTGCTACTCCTCCTACAAATTTGGTCTGATTTCAATATAACTTGGCACACAAGTAGACTACACTAAGATACATAATTCTGTGTATTGGTTTTTCATTTCGACGAACGGTGTTGGCGTTGTTACTAAAAATAGAAATGTCTAAAATTCTTTCAAAATGTTACTCCTCCTACAGTTTTGGTCTGATTTCAATATAACTTGGCAAACAAGTAAACTACACTAAGACACATAATTCTGTGTATTGGTTTTTGACTTCAATGAACATTATTACCTTGGTTAATAAAAATAGCAATTTCTGTTACTCTCAAAATGCTACTTCAAATACAGTTTTAGTCTGATTATAATATAATGTGGCATGCAAGTAGACTACACTAAGAACATAATATTAAAGAGACTTATTCAAGGATCATTATTCTCTCTTTTGCTAGTGTAAAGTTTCAATTTCCAACTGCTTAAGTACTTTCCTCTTCCTTTGCTATAAGTACAAACCAGTAGAGCTTCAGTCTCACACTAAGAACTTAATATTAAAGAGACTTATTCAAGGATCATTATTCTCTCTTTTGCTAGTGTAAAGTTTCAATTTCCAACTGCTTAAGTACTTTCCTCTTCCTTTGCTATAAGTACAAACCAGTAGAGCTTCAGTCTCGACAGAGACTTCTGGTTTTCGGTTGTTGTGGTAACCCACTCTTTTTCCTACACTTTCATTCATAATTTTCATTGTCATTAATTTTTTTAATGCATTGCAATGATTTGACACCCCCCCCCCCTCCAGTGAACTCGGATGCATGCCTTTTAAAAATTAGTCTGACAGCAATTTTAATGAATTACAAAACGGCATTTGTAAATGTTTTGTAGGTGCAAGTGTGGAAATTGTTCTGTAATGCCCACTGCCTAGGAATCTGTGTGCTGCCATGAGGTGGAAAATATTAAGTCCATTTTTTTAAGAAGACCAAGGCATTACCTGTATAACTAGCCACCCTGGATTTGCACCAGCCTGTTTAAACAAATATGTCCTCCAAATAGCGTATTACCAATATAAACAGCAGTATGGGGAAATATTGAAGATTCTTCAGAGTAATTATATTCAATATTTCTTTCATGCACCTTACTACAAATTACATGAATCTTTTAGAATTATCAGTCCAATCTTTATGTTTAATTCATAAATACAATACCATATATTTATAATCAGTTTATGGAGTTTACCATAAATCATGTCAATTTGATTCGAGTTAAATGTCTTCTACAAGTTTGCATTCTCTTATAAATCAAATTCTCAAACCTTACAAATCTGATAAGGATAAATTTTTATTATCTAGGAGTCTTGCAAACAAGTCTATTTGTTTGACAATCAAATAAAAAAATATCTTTCATGAATTTTCAATTACATGTATAGTTTCAAAACTCGATCAACATATATTGTACATTGTATTTTCTGGGTCATAAACTAAAGAACACTCTGAACACATCTCAATTCTTCAAAAATTGCAGTATCATATTTCTGATTCTGATTGCACACATAAGTACTCTGAAGTTGACATCAAGAAGATGCTTGAGTTTCTGATTGACAATATCTATGTGGTTTTTGGAGACCAGGTATTCCAACAATCTATTGGCATTCCCATGGGTACAAATTGCGCTCCGTTATTAGCAGACTTATTTTTATATTCATATGAAGCAGAATTTATGCAAAATCTTATGCGTGAAAAGAAGAAAACACTTTCTGTGGCCTTCAACTCGACATTTAGATATATCGACGACGTATTGTCAATTAATAATGATAATTTCCATTCCTACGTCGACACGATATATCCTGGTGAGCTTGAGATAAAAGATACTACAGAGTCCAACACTTCTGCTTCTTACTTGGATATTTTACTTGAAAAAGACACTAATGGTAATCTAACAACCAAGCTATATGATAAACGTGATGACTTAAACTTTTCTATCGTCAACTTCCCTTACTTATGCAGCAACATGCCTTCATCACCTGCATACGGAGTATATATATCTCAGTTGATTCGATACGCAAGAGCATGCTCTACGTATGAACAATTTCTTAAACGAGGTAAATTATTGACAAGCAAGTTGATGAAACAAGAATATCAACAGTCTCGTTTAAAGTCATCATTTCGTAAATTTTATGGTCGATACAATGATCTTGTCAGCAAATACAATTTATCATTGAATGAAATGCTGACTGACGTTTTTCATACCAATTGTTAGTCCATTATTTATACACTGAATTGACGACGGATTTTTTCCGTTATTTCCTGATTATGACAACGAGCACACGGCGGGTGTGACCGGTCGGCAGGGGATGCTCACTCCTCCATGGCACCTGATCCCACCTATGATGTTTCGGAGGTCCGTGTTTGCTCTGCTCTTATTTTGTATATTGTTTAATGGACGTTGAGAATGAATACTGTTCGTTATTTCCATATCCTTCATTTACATGTGCAAAAATAAAACTACATGGTTCTCTAGAGGATTATTTCAAAATATTGGCTTCATGAGGCTCAGAGCATATGAAACAACAAGAGGCCCACGGGCCTTATAGGTCACCTGAGCATTATGCAACAATTTTCCAGTTATTGAATTTGATTCATGTTTTAAGCTAGCTGCAATAATGTAGCCCTCTCCAATTTTTTTTATCTGATATTTTCTGGAGAGGGCTACAATTCCATCGCATCTCCGTAATGGTGCAAAAATATTTTTTAAATACGAGCGACTGCAGGCCGAATAAATTATTTTTACATTCAACTTACTTATAATAAGACGAAATTTTTATTCACTGTTGACATCATACAGTACCGACCAGACCCAACCTGACACCAAAGCAGTCCCAGAAAGCAGTCCCCGGGACTGCATTGGGACCGCTCTGGGACTGCTCTGGGACCGCTATGGGACTGCTATGAAAAGCAGTCCCAGCTGCCCCTGGGACTGCTTTGTTCACTCATGTGTGAAAAAGGTTCTGAGTGACATGATAGCTCCGCCCCCTTGTGTATTCTGAAATTGCAGGCTCCCTATTGTTTTGTTTACTTGCAGCAGAGAGGAGTTTAAACTGTTTAATAAGCAAGGATTTCTTACATTCTTTTAATAAGTAGAGATTATTATAGTTAATTTATATTTTCAGGGACTGTATACTGACACAAATTAATGTGTATTTAGAATAAATAAAAAAAATAATAAAGTTGATAATAAATAAGGAATTCATGAGAAAATTGTTATCCCTAAAAATAAACTACAATTTATGAGAAAAAAAATAGCTACATATGGGCCTTTTTTAATTATTTAATGTTAAATTTTAATTTGTCCCAAAATTTGCATTGGTACTATTTAAAAATAATCATTACAATTAAATATAAAAATGCTACACGTTTTATAAGGACTGTGCTAAAAAAAAGAGTATTCCATGTAACCCTCAAATAAAACCCAACAATTTATTAAATGACCATGAAATAAAATTATGCTACCATTCTCCCGTAACATAAACTAAGTGAATAATCATTGGGAAATTAATTAATTACCGGTAGCTTTTAATTAATAAACAAGTTATTAAAAGAGTATATTTATTTTTTTTAAAAATGAAAATACCGGGAATTGTGATTTATTTCTTTTCTGTTTTGCAAGTGTTTACCTGGCCTATTAATGTTTATAAGATGGTATTAACACCCATTGTTTCAATCGCCTTTGGGCAGAAAAATCGATATATGTTATTTGGATATTTGTATCGGTGTTACACATCATTGAACACGCTGGTAAACAATGACCCTGATTTCAATGTATTTAATGCCAAAAAAAATTTGATAAATGAAATGTGTATAAATTTCTTTCGGGATTAATTAATTTTGAACATAATCTGAAGTTTTCATTCTGGTGATTTACAGATGTACACTCTAACATTTACAAATAAAACACTTAAAACTGAGTTTTATAGAACTAGGCATTAACGATAATTAAATTGTCATGTCAGTAAAAATAATCATCACTGAAAAATAATACTTGGCAAAATTAACAAAGAATTTTTTAAAAGCCCCAATACTTAAGAAAACTTTAACTATAGAGTATCCCGATAGTCTAAATTGGCAATATAATGATTAGATCTATCAAAGCTTCTTCTGGTGGAAAATAATTAATTCACGTTTAATTTTCTGTATAAAAAATAAATATGGGAACCAGTATCAATCACAGAGGAATTATTTATATACCCAAGAATTGTGATTAAATATTCATGTTCAGTGTAATTCATATATGTACATGTAAGTGTGAAAGCCTTCTTCCTCCAATAAATATTATAATTATTTCAATTTTTAAGCGCGTACATGTTCTGTTCATAAATGACCTTCGCGTACATGTAAGGATTCCTGGCATACTACCCAGAATCAATTTCTACTGCCTTTTATAGTTCCATTGTTTATTGGAAATCTCATTTCTGAGTTAGCGCCACCCATTAAATTAATAAGCCCCTCCCACTGGGACTGCTTGACTGCTTTCTGGGACTGCTGTGACTGCTCTCTGGGACTGCTTGGACCGCTCTGGGACTGCTGTGGGACTGCTCTGGGACCGCTATGGGACTGCTTTAGCAGTCCCAGAAAGCAGTCCCCGGGACTGCTCTGGGACTGCTTTGTATCAGGTTGGGTCTGGTCGGTACTGTAGCTCGTTAAACGCGAAAACCATGTAAAATAAATCTGTGTGATTTCTTGTCGCTTATTCGGCAGCCATGACAGTTCACATGTGACGTAGTGAGACTTGCGCTTGAAATTTCGAATAATTCAATAAAGCAAATGTCGATGTTTATAAATAATTTTGATGAATAGTAACACTAAACATCGATGAATAAAATAATTCCAAGTGTCATTTTTCGTAAACAGCGATATTTAGGCTTAAAATAAGGTTATTCCAAAGAAATCCGCTCCCTATAGATCCTTAATCTCATTGGCTGTCTCAAAATAAAATCTGTCAAGGTCAGTAAACATGGCGGATAAATTTAAGTTGTGATGTTGACATACACGAAAAATACTGATATATGGATTGTGCTGTATATTTTTTCATCGATTTATGTCTGGTAGGGCTGGGTATTGGCCTGAGATTTCGTATTGCGATATATTGCGATACTTTTAACTGTATTGCGATATGTATTGCAATGTTTTCAATGTAATAAAAATGGCATTTTCTTACTAAATTTACTTTAATTTACATGCGGAATGTACATAACTATGATGAGTAACCAACACGGAAAAAAAATCTTGTTGATTTTAATTTAAGTTTTGCTCTGAAATGTTCCCACAAAACAACTTCTGACTAACTATTTGGCTTAATAACAAACTTTCATGAGTCCATATTTACATGTATATCTAATGACAAAATTCCTTAATCTAAGCATATTGCCAATATATCGATATTACAAAATCGTATTGCGATACGATATTTTTTGCCATTGTATTGCAATATATTGAAATATCGATATTATTGCCCAGCCCTAATGTCTGGGATAACTACATTTTGGAAGTTCAGGTAAGGCATATAAATAAAATAGCCGTTTACAGACAATTTGAGCCGAAATCCGTGCGGGAGCGATTCACTGCCGCATTGCACCATTACGGAGATCCTAAGGAGTTGTAGCCCTCTCCCAAAAAAAAAAAAAAAAAAAAAAAATCGGAGAGGGCTACATTATTGCAGCTAGTTTTAAGCCAGATGCTATATGACATTCACAATTTTGAAAGAGGCACCATTAATCATCATAACAATACACTTAGCAGTTGCTTACATGTAGGTTGGTTACTGAATACCCATATGCAGGGTAGGGAAACAAAAATGCATTCCAACTAACCAGTAGTGCTCCTAACACTGTGACATAAACCCCTGACCCTAGGTCCACACATTGCACAAATTTCAAGTTTACTCACGTGACCTAATAAAACATATACAGTCAACTCACTTTAACATATCCCCCAGGTATCTTGCATTCAAGATATTGGTACATGTATTCGAAATTACAGAGTTCAAATGTAGATGTGACTTTCCAATACTTCTCTCTTTTTTTCAGAAAATACAGATATACAGCCTATAGACAATTAGCAAGGTGGGCATGGGGGTATCTTGGAAAAAAAGATCCGAGTTGTTTTACCATCATGTGCTGTGAATTGTATCCGAAACAATTTTCCAGCTAATTCTGAAAATTACACTGGATTTAAACAACAATAAACATTCACTGATAAGTACAAGTTAAATGAATTGAATACATGTACAGTCAAGCCTCGTCAATGGATTTTTTCTCTAAACATGCATTATCTTGGTCTATTAAAGCATCATGACTAGAAAATCTTGGAAGTTTTTCTTGAATAGCAGTCTCTTTATTGGGTCTTTCATAAGCACTGCAAAGTGGAGGAGGAACATTGTTCAGCGTGATACCACTGAAGTTCATGGTCTGATCCTCTGCTGAAGTTATGACCACTTTCATTAATTTGTCAATGTAACCTGCAAATAAATAATTTTGTGCAATACAGTTGCAAACATCATTCTTTACACATCTTAATGATAAATTGAAGCAAAAACGCTTGTGTACGTACCATATGTGCAGTTGACTTTGACTTCTCGAACAGAATATTCTCCTTTTTTGAACTTGGGGAATATGACATCATATCTTTCCTAAATCAAGTGCCCTATTTGGTTTAGTAAGCGCATTCCGGATCTGAGAAATGTTTATCTGTAATGACGGTGTAAAAATCCGAAATCGGAAATTTTGGAAAACTTTGCTAGACGAACAGAAGTCATATTTGCTAAGATAGGCCTCGGAATCGGGGATGGGGGCTAAGCATCCCCCCCCAATTTTTTTTCCCAAAGATAACCATAATATAAGCATTGAAAACTGGGGCTTACCTTTTTTTCCTTTGTTTAGCCTCCACACTTCCAATTAGCCCCCCTTTTCATTTTTCTTCCGAATTCAATGACTAAAAAGTCTACATGTATTAGTGTGAGAGTGTGAATGCGTGTTAAAAAGTTGCACAAAAAACTCGATTCTGCACTGTTTGGTCTCTTTATTAGGTCACCTGAGTCACTCAGGTGACCTATTGCTATCCGTTTTCGTCCGTCGTCGTCCGTCGTGTGTCGTGTGTTAACATTTGAACATTTTCAGCTTCTTCTCTGAAACCGCTAAACCAATTTCAACCAAATTTGGTATACAGCATCTATGGGTAAAGGGAAACAAAAATTGTGAATTTCATGGTCCCCGCCCCCCTGGGGCCTGAGGGGTGGGGCCAAAACCACTAAAAAAAGTGCAATCTTTAAAAATCTTCTTCTTTACTCCTGGACATCAAGCAGGCTAACTATTGACATGAATGTAATAAGCATTGAGTCCTCTACCAAAATTGTGAAATTCATGGCCCCAGGGTCAGGAGTTCTAGTGCTAGGGTGAGGCTTAATAGGTTATATAGTGAAAATGCATTATTTCCTTAAATATTTTCTTCTCTGCTCCTGGGTATTAAATAAACTAACTAAGTAACAAGTTATGATGAGAAAGAATGCCTCTTCCAAAATTGTGAATTTCTTGGCCCCAGGGTCAGGGGTTCTGGTGTTAGGGCGGGGCTCTATTAATTATAAAGTGAAAATGCATTGAATCTCTGAAAATCTTCTTCTCTGCTCCGGGGTATTAAATAAACTAACTAAGTACATAGTTATGAGGAACAAGAGTGCCTCTTTCAAATTTGTGAATTTCATGGCCCCAGGGTCAGGGGTCCTGGTGTTAGGGCGGGGCTCTATTGATTATATAGTGAAAATGCATTGAATCTCTGAAAATCTTCTTCTCTGCTCTGGGGTATTAAATAGACTAACTAAGTAAATAGTTATGATGAACAAGAGTGCCTCTTTCAAATTTGTGAATTTCATGGCCCCAGGGTCAGGGGTCCTGGTGTTAGGGCGGGGCTCTATTGATTATATAGTGAAAATGCATTAAATCTCTGAAAATCTTCTTCTCTGCTCCTGGATATTAAATAAACTAACTAAGTACATAGTTATTATGAGCAAGAGTGCCTCTTTCAAATTTGTGAATTTCATGGCCCCAGGGTCAGGGGTTCTGGTGTTAGGGCGGGGCTCTTTTGATTATATAGTGAAAATGCATTGAATCTCTGAAAATCTTCTTCTCTGCTCTGGGGTATTAAATAAACTAACTAAGTAAATAGTTATGATGAACAAGAGTGCCTCTTTCAAATTTGTGAATTTCATGGCCCCAGGGTCAGGGGTCCTGGTGTTAGGGAGGGGCTCTATTGATTATATAGTGAAAATGCATTAAATCTCAGAAAATCTTCTTCTCTGCTCCTGGATATTAAATAAACTAACTAAGTACATAGTTATGATGAGCAAGAGTGCCTCTTCCAAATTTGTGAATTTGTTGGCCCCAGGGTCAGGGGTTCTAGTGCTAGGGCGGGGCTATATAGATTATTCAATGAAAATGCATTATTTAAAAAAAAAAATTCTCCTCTGATCCTGAGTATTAAATAAACTTAAACTAAGTACATAGTTATAATGAGCAAGAGTGCCTCTTCCAAATATGTTAATTTCATGGCCCTTATGTCAGGGGTTTAGCTATTTGGTGTAAGGAGAGGGAGGCTCTACATTACATAAATTCTTTGAAAATCTTTTCCTTTGCTCCTGGGTATTATGCCAATGATCTAAGTATATATATATATTTATGATGAGGAAAGGTGCATCTAGCAAAATGGTTAATTTCATGCCCCCCTGGATCAGGGGTATCGGGGGGGGGGGGGGGGGGGGGTGGTACATAGTTACAAAATAAATGAATGCTTTGAAATTTACTCATTAGTATTAATCAACCATATTTGATGAAATAACATTTATGATGATAAAATTTTGAAATATGTGGCCCCAGGGTCTATGGTTTCTGTGGGATGGGGTGCACAATTGCATGATTTAGAATGAAAGTGCATTTTTAACTCTACTGGTCAGAGACCAGAAGAGCTTATGCGATAGTAAGGTGTCCGTCGTCCGTCCGTCTGTCTGTCTGTCTGTCCGTCTGTCTGTAAACAATTTTTCAAAACGCTACTCCTCCTACAGTTTTGGTCCGATTTTAATATAACTTGACACACAAGTAGACTTCACTAAGATACATGAAATAGTGCATCGGTTTTTGATTTCAATGAACGGTGTTGCCATTGTTACTAAAAATAGAATTTTCTATGAAATTCCTTTAAAAAACTACTCCTCCTACAGATTTGGTCTGATTTCAATATGACTCGGCAAACAAATAGACTACACTAAGATACAAAAAATAGTGCATCGGTTTTTGATTTTGATGAAAGGTGTTGCCATGGTTACTAAAAATAGAATTTTCTGTGAAATTCCTTTAAAACGCTACTCCTTCTACAGTTTTGGTCCGATTTTAATATAATTTGGCACACAAGTAGACAACTTTAAGATACATAAAATAGTGCATTAGTTTTTTATTTCGATGAATGGTGTTACCATGGTTACTAAAAATAGAATTTTCTGTGAAATTCCTTTAATATGCTACTCCATCTACAGTTTTGGTCTGATTTCAATATTATTTGGCACACAAGTAGATTGCACCAAGATACATAAAATAGAGCATCGGTTTTTGATTTCGATGAACAGTGTTGCCTTGGTTACTTAAAATAGAATTTTCTGTGAAATTCCTTTAAAACGCTACTCCTCCTACAATTTTGGTCTGATTTCAGTATAACTTGGCACACAAGTAGACTACAATAAGATACGTAAAATAGTGCATCGGTTTTGATTTTGATGAACAGTGTTGCCATTGTTACTAAAAATAGAATTGTCTGTGAAATTCCTTTAAAACGCTATTCCTTCTACAGTTTTGGTCTGATGACAATGGATTCTTTTCTCATCCTTTGTTATAAGTACAAACCAGTAGAGCTACAGTCTCGACAGAGACTTCTGGTTCTCTTAGTTACTCTGATCTACTTATGGGTGTTAAGTGACTATCTAGTAAGCATTGCTAAGTGTATAATTATGATAAGCAGTAGTGCCTCTTTGCAAAATTGTGAATTTCATGGCCTCTGGTTTGAAACACAAACCAAATTGAATTGTTGGAAAGTTGTTACATGAAACTCAGGTTACCTACAAGGCCCGTGGGCCTCTTGTATCATTTCAAACTCCTTTCTTTGTTTTTACATGAGCATTTCTTCCTACAGATTGTACAACACATGCATAATAAACAACAACAACAATCATCTGTACATCCTGAGCATTCTTGCCTCTGAATGGTAAATTCAGTGTCATCTAATGACATAGATTCAAGAATAGAATTTCTGATGCATTTGTTTTCATTTAATGCACCACGCATTGCCGAAATCATACCCTGGGCCGTCATTTGTTTTGTCAAAGAGCGGCCATAAGCATAACAGATAGTTGATTGATTGTGTGTTGTTTAACGTCCCTCTCGAAAATTTTTCACTCGTATGAAGACGCCACCACTTGCCGGTGGAGGGCTACAAATTTTGTCCTATGCTCGGCACTCAGGGCCTTTGAGCAGTGAGGGATCTTTTTCGTGCCAGCAACTACTGCGACACGGGGCCTCGGTTTATACGGTCTCATCCGAAGGAGCGGCCTCCACGTCCCACAGTGGGATTCGAACCCGCGACGTAAGGATTGAATCCTTACTTCGCGACTCTAGAGCAGACGCTCTAACCACTGCGCCACGCGGGCGACTATAACAGATGGCAGTAGACTGCTGAACATGCATGGCGACCATCCCTGCCAATAGGACAAACATGATTTGGCCACATGAACGCCAAAATAAAATGCTATTATGGGCACTTTCCTACTGCGTTGAAAATAGAATTCCATCCACTCATTTGGATGACAAAGTCATGCGAATGCTGCAGAAATTCCCCTTGCGAACTTTCTTCCCAGTAAAGATGATCTCAAAGAAATTAAAAATCGTATGAGCATCATCGTTGCTCGCATAATGGTTCAAGAAATTCCATATTTCCAGAAAAACTTTACAGAGTCTGTTCCACTACACATAAGACACAGATTCTGGAGAGAATCGTCAAAGAGAAGCAATGTAGAAAGTTTGCAATTGAATGATCTCTTATAATCATTGAGCATATTAATTTGTTAGAAATAGGAAATCCTTTCATTCCTCTCCATTCTCTTAGATAAATTTAGGTGTGTGTCAGGAAAAACCAACAACAGTGGGGACAATCAAAATTTTGGAAAGACTTCATGAATATGTACCTAGACGAGAAAATCGCCTTTTTTCCTTTGGTATGTTATAGAGATGGTCTTTCATGTGAGCGTCATAATGACGCCCACTTAGCAAGGACTGACGCAGGGACACCAATGAAAGGATTACAAGGATTGCAGCCAGTGGCACAAGAGTTTCACAAAAGGATGTTACTAGTGCAGGTAGCAATTTTGAAGAAAAAAATCATTTTGTTATTGCTAAGAAAAATCAGTTGTATCTGTTTTCTGAATTCGTTCTGTTATACTTTTTGGAAGGATATAATGGACATATTCTTCAGTGGCAAAAGTGCCCAGGACAAGGGAACGCTGTTTCACCTCAAGAATCTCTTTGGTCACAGAGGTGTGAAAAAGCAAGTGGGTGATGCTTTCAACCACGTTTCAACATTCCTAAAGTTTGTAACTT